TTGTTTTATTTATATATGTACACATGGATAAAGTATGTGTAGGAGTATGTTTCAGAGTTAGAAGCATTTATGCAGTTTAGAGTGATTGGGAAATGTCTGCTTATGCTAACATAACCAATGTTATTTGGTCATTTAGTCTAATGTTACTGGCATATCCTTGAAAATTTGAGCTATGGGGTGTTTTTTATAGCTATTTTTGTGAATTGTAATTTAAAATCTTTTTTGATCAAGTGTCAGGTCAGACCATATTCTATAACTGATTTTATCCTTTAATATTGATCAAGATTAAGCTTACATGTGCATTGTCAGTTAGTTCAGTCAGCTATGCAACAGTTGCGCGTGCAGCAGTTACTGGGGTGTTAAAAAATTTAAAGAACTTATTTGTGTGGTGATGTGTATTCTCCACTTAATAATCCTTTAACATTTTAATGAGGCAAAACAGCTGGTGCAACCAATCTTGGTCCAGCACCTTTGACAAAAACACTGAATATCCGTTGTGGCGGATTTGTGAGGGGAGGAATAAAGAGAATTTCTGTTCCAGGGATCAGCATAGGATCATATAATCATTATTTTTCCATGAGACACTGTGTGCAGACGTATGTCCTTTCTCAGAAAAAGCAATACATTTAAACAGCTACACACCAGTCCAAGCTGTCCAGAACAAGTTGGCTTCAGTCTGACAAAGAATTCCTGAATAGCAGTGAGGAAATATTACTCATTCACTATTCAAGCTAGCGTGGGAATTAAAATCATTAATCATCCTTTAGCAAACACACTTCTCAAACCTTTGAGGTAGATGTGTGGGACTGGTTAAAACAAACAACTGTTGAATCTTTGTATTTTATACTGAGTCACGGAAGAATTTTTATCTCTCTGGGCACATGGTTCAGTAAAGTAATCAAACAATTTTACTGCCTTGCATCAATCAGAGTCCAAACCTTTCATGCAAAAATGTCTGCATGCCACTTATGCCCCGATGTCACAAAGTGACTAGCTTCTTTCTAATTGCCTCACAGTGGGCAAAGTCATGGTCCACAGTCAGCAGGACCCTGGCTCAAGCTCAATTCTTGTTAGCTAGCCGGTTTGGGTAAATGACTGGAAGTACTTTGTTGTGCTGTGTTTTCTATGGAAATCCTCCCAGAGAATTATCTTCTCTGCACACCCAGGATGCTTTTGACAAAAACAGCTGCAATGCTATTTCCTCCTCATTTGCAGCTTGTTCATTTCACAATTGCACTGAATGGATCACTGTGAAAAGCGATTCCTTATCTTCAGATAAAGCTACAGCCAAGATTACTGATATTTCCCAAAGCAGGATAATGTTCCCATTTACTGCAGTATGATAAGCAGTACCATTGAAGTACCATTTACTGACATTCACCTGAATAGTCAGTAATACCATCCTAAGTTTACCTGCCTTTGGCCTTAATGGACTCTGTTTGTACTTTGTTAGACTTGAGCCCTGCGTAGCAACTCCCTGGCAACAAATGTTATGATGACACAGTTCAGCCTTCAGGATGTTAAATACTTTGCAGCTTGTCCAAGCGCACAGGGATGTGTGCTGGATTTTCAGAGGGAATTGGGATTTAATGGCGCAGCTACAGTGATAACTCAGTAAAGCTTGGTTTAGAAACTTTGCACCCAAGTTGTAATAAAAAGGTTTTCCCACATCAAAGTTGACTGCCGGGCAGAACAGAGGGCAGGGTTTTCGATTACAGGGCGTTAGGTATAAGGCTTTTAGTGACTCATGTGTTTCAATAAATCATAAACCAATTACTTTAGAACAGACGGCTGGCTTGGTGCAATGAGGCCATTGGCTTGTGGTCATTGTGTTACCATTAGTGGTGGACCACTGCTGCTCCAGCCTCAGCAATATCATCATGTCAGAGCCCGTCACTGTAGTTGCATGAAAGCTAAAATCAACACTAGGCGAGTCTATACTACATAAATAAATTAATAAATAAATAGGAACAATACACAAATCAGGAATGCCATAATTACAGCTTGTACAATACATTTTAGATAATGGGATTCCTAGTGGCATTTAAACAGAGAAAATATTAGCCTCCACTACTCCGATTCTGATTTACACATTGTACACTCATCCATCACTAGCCCAAAACCACAACAATCCAAAATAACCCGTAAAGAATCTTCTCTTCCCTGATTGTCTTTAGTAGTTTACCTTCTATCTCAGTTACAGTAACTCAGTTAAAAGGTCTCAAGGTGGTGACCCGAGACTGAACTGAATTACAGTGAGCCTATACTGGACCAAATGGAAGCTAATTGCTTGCACGTGTCAGCTAAATAATTGCAGAATGTGCAGTATGGTAAAAGACTGCTTTAATTGGTGAATCTGGATTGGATCACCTCCAATGGAAATGAAATGTCCATGATAGACTACATGAGGGTTGCATTGATATGTGACTATGGTTATTTGTTTGTGAGTACAGGCTCCCTAAAACACTCCCTAGAGTTTTGTTTTATACCATTTACAAAGCCGTTCAGACTCCATCTAGCTCTGCTCCCAACCATTCTCCCTGAGACTGTAATAAATTCCTTTAATTTTCTACCAAAAAATGCTTGTGGGATGAAATAATCTGCCTGCACATGGCCTGCCTTTCCTTTAACCTAATTAAAATGTGTTTGCATTATGAACTGCTTTTCCTGTTGCTTAGATATTTTCCCCACAAAACAACTTCAAGAGTCATACCCTTATGGATTTCAGTGTGGTAAAACAATTAAACATGAAAACTTCCAGGGCAGGGGGTGAATACTTTTTACATGCACTGTAATTGTAAAATTAATATCTTTGGGTTTTGGACTGTTGGTCGTAAAAACAAGACACACTGGATGGCATTACCTTTGACATTTTATAGATCAAACAATCAATTGGTTAACAGACAAATTAGTCAGCAGATTAATCAATAATAAAAATAATATAAAATACAATATAAAACACAATATTTTTTGTTATTTGTTTAGTTAGTTTATTAGTATTCTTAGTATGTTTATATTATATTCGTCATATTTATTTTTTTATTATTCATTTTCAGGGGCGGAGCTAGACTCAGCACAGAGGGGGCGGGTCTTCATCAGGGGGGCCCACCTGCCACCAAGTAATTTAAACCAAGTTTACATGACCCTGGACTCACTCTGAAAGTCCACTGCTGCCGGAGCTGATTGTGGCCATTCTAGCAAATGTTTGTGCTCACACCAGAAGGGTTCCTCCGTCAAGTAGCACAGAGCAGATGAACCGGGCAGGAAGTCAGACACAGAAAGGCAGAGTATCCAGTTAATTTTCAAAATAAAAAATTACCTGTAAAGACTTCCGATCGTGTATCAACAATAAACACAATTAAATCAGACAAAAATAAATAATTAAACTATGTAGCCTACTTAGAAGCAAAAAAAGCAACCACTGATCACCAAATCAATAATATCTAAACATGTCAACAAAATGCTCTCTATGGTAGTTGCTAGGTGCACCCGTCAAGACCACAGGGCCACAGAGAGCTGTGAAGAATGTAGTAGAAGCACAAAAAGTGCATACTGAAAACAAGTCATTAACGTGGGGCAGGCTGCACCCTCCACATCTGAAATACTTTTTAGAGGCTTCCAGTGGAAGTTGACGCCTTAACTAAACTGCAGCGCACACGCAGCCTGGATGACGCCGGGGTGCTACAGTAGCCTATGTCTGTCCCTCAATTCCCATGATGCATTTTGGTGAAGAGAGTTTTGTTAAAATTTGTTAATAGGTTTGCTGTTTGTTTTAAATACACATTTCATTATGATTTATGTTTATTAAAATGCGTCCTTATAATATAGTATTTTTTGTTTGTAATTGTCATTCTTGTGGTGTAGCCAAACTTCACAGTTGTGTAGGTGGTCCTCCATCTAGCTGGGCCTACGCTACCTCTGCTGATGCTCATTTTCTATTCCCTACATATCTGCTGTTATGAAACTGAAATTTCCCCTTGGGAATACATAAAGAGCTACCTACTGAATTGCTAATCACATAATTACAAGTGTATGCTAAGTACTGTGGATACTGTTCACATGGTATGGGTGCATTGAGTAGTAGTAGTATGTATTCAATTAAACATTCTTATGGGTTGCAGAGTAGAAAAAAATGGAAAAATTGAGAGAAACTTTAGCTCCCATCGGAGAGTTGGTATTCACTTGAATGCTGTTTCTATAATTTAAATTGAAGGCTGAATCTTTTCCAAATAATGCATGAAGCTTTTCTGCTGTAATAAATGAGAACAAAAGGCCTCTCTAGAGGTGGGTGGCTAGGTTGCATTTCTTTCAACTAAATGCTTAGCTTCATTCTGTTCCCTTTACCGCCTCTCTTACCAGTTGCATTACATACATTCCTCCTTCATTTAAGATTCCTTGTTTGTTTAATTGCATACTGGTTATTTAATTCAGGCTTAAAAGGGAGCTTGACCGATTTCATAAAATCTATTTCCAGATCCTGTGAAGTACAACTGCATATGTGAAGAAAGTTGTAGAAAACCTGAAATCTGATCAATCAGCAACTACAAATTTGAATGTCAACAGGCTAACATATTAAGATGTTAAGGTGGTCAGAGAACATGTTTTCAAAAATATTTAGTGTATTTTATTTTTCTGTTTCTTGGGTGCCGTTCTATTCTTAAATTGATTGCTTGTTATTGTTAGACGATTATTGGAATAGGCCAATTTGACTAAATTATAATTATTATTTTCCAACACTGCCTTAAACCTCTTGGACATGGAGTTCACCAGAGCTTCACAGGTTGCCACTGGAGTCCTCTTCCGCTCCTTCATGATGACATAACTGGAGAATAATGGTGGCCACACAAAATATTTTGGGGCCAATTTGGACATTTCCACTTAGGGGTGTACTCACTTTTTGTCACAGTTTGGTGTGGGTGAGGCAGGTTGGAGGACCCAAACGCAGGAAGAGGTACAGTACAAGGGGTTTTAATGAATGAACCAAAAGTGAGCACACTTACAGGTGAGTGACTGAATACAGAGTCCAAAAACTCAGGTAGCCCAAACAGATATCCAAAGAGAGCAGGGTAACACGACAAACAGCAGGAGACCTCACAGCAACAGGAGACAGCATGCAATGACCCAACAAAGACAAGACAGAAACACCAGGTATATACACATACACACACACACACACACACACACACACACACACACGGGGACTAACGAGCAGGGCGGGAGCAACACAGGTGAAGGACATGAGATTAACGAGGCAGGCAGAGAGAGACAGTGAATAGAGAGACTGACATGCAGGCAGAGTGACAACCGGGGGAACAGACGGAACACAGGTTACTGAACACAAAACAGACCAGAGTGAACACTTAACATGAACTAAGGTACAGGACTGGGAACAAGGACAAAGAACTAAAATGCAGGAACAAGAGTTAAGGCAGTGACTAAGAAACAATATAACAAGTAGACTACCAAACCAATATCAAAACAACACAGGACTACAAGCTAGAACACCAGACAAGACATAAACACTAAGGACAAGGAAACAAGAAGAACAGGAAAACAGAAGGACACCAGAAACAAATGGCAAAAACTACAACTCATGACACTTTTGTTGTCAGCGGTCAGAAATTAATGGCTGTGTGATGTGTTATTTTGAGGAGACAGCAAATTTACACAATATACAAGCTGTACACTCACTACTTTACATTGTAGCAAAGTGTCATTTCTTCAGTGTTGTCACATGAAAATATATAATATTTACAAAAATGTGAAGGGTGTACTCACTTTTGTGAGAGACTTTATTTTATTTTAGTCTACATTTTTGTATATAATTTATATCCACAATATATCAGTCATCAAATGTTATTCCCTAATACTAAAGTCAAGCTATAATAAAACTATGTCTGAATTCACTCTAACCAGTACTACATATGCTTGCTTACTACATATGGCTCCCACTCTCAGTTAACATACTGTAGTAATTAAAACCCCATATTGAGGTTTATAACTGCTCAGTTAAAGTTGTGCTTGGCCAGAACACATGCTGCATCAATCCCGACTCTGACTGTAAATGTTGTGGTAATTAGTGCTTTTTCACCCATAAAAAAGCACTGCCCCAACAACAGATGGAGTTACGGCAGCACGGGGAAGTTAAAGCTCCTGTTTAAACAAATTAGCTAAAGGCAAACCTTGAATATTTTACTGTTCGCTGCACAGACATACACATTCATATCAATGTTCTTGAGTCTGAGCTGGTTTGCGGTGTTTACCAGATGGCAGCAATCAGTCAAGGCAGGACCAGATGAATGCAGCTGGAGTTGTATTGGCTTAACTGATGGGGATAATGGGTGCTTTTGGCTCAGTAAAAGGTCCCTGCTAATATTGCAGTTATTTATAGAGCTGATCAACTGCAAGTCAATGAGCAAACATGTTTTTATACAGTATTGCTATTGATCTTAACAGTGTGCATTACAGCTGTTTGAACTGTTTACACTGGCTATGGTTTAGTTTTTCATGTGTCTTTAGCCTGGCCTTAACAGTTTGGACACCTGCATACATTTCGGTTCTTCGGAAATAAATGTGTTTTGGATGAATGCACCTCTATTGAAAATTTCATAAAAAAACATTTTTATGAATCATTTCTGAAATAAAAATGTATAAAAGTAGTATAGGGTATAAAAGTATAAAACTTCCTTTATTGTCATGTGAAAATTATACATATTTCTGACAATCTTCAAAATTCTAGTTCTTCCATTATTCACCACAACTTGATAAAACCATAATTAAAATTTAGGATTGTGTAATGCTGTTTTGTTTTTAGTTCTTTTATAGTAGAATTCACTTACCACAATCAGCGGTACGGTGGTCCAGTGGATAGCACTATGGCCTCACAGCAAGAAGGTTGTGGGTTCAAACCCTGTGGGTTCTCTCTGGGTGCTCTGGCTTCCTCCCACCGTCCAAAGACATGTGGACTAGGTTGATTGGTGACTCTAGATTGTCCTTAGGTGTGAGTGTGACTGGTTGTATGTCTGTGGCCCTAGGATGGATTGGCGGCTTTCGCCCGACATTCGCCCGGGATTGGCTTCAGCCCCAGTGACCCTGTACACAGGATGGTTCAGAGGTCACAAGTGTCAGTGTTGACAGAAAAGACTAACAGGTAATGAAATACTGCCAGAGGAAATAAATAGATTTGTTTTAGATTTAATTAAATGTTGTATACAAAATAGCCTCATTGAGATTAAGAAGATCTTTTTCAAGTGAAACCTGACAAGTCACACCAATTAAAACAGAAAGAAGGAAGGAAATATAAGAGACTCTGACTCAAATGTAACAATGTAAAGGAAGCAATAAATGGAGAAGAGGAAAAAAACTCCATTATGCATTTTTTTCAGTTGATAGGAAGAGCTCTAAGCTTTATCATATTAGCTTTTATTCAGGGCTTCAATCTGATATAATTTATTTAGGGAAAAAATAACCCACTTTACCCATTATGTCACAAATAACTGAAACAATTTATTTCAAAGAGAAATAGAGCAGTGTGAGATCTACTCTCTGGAATGCTGCTACAGTAATATTGCATAACAGTGTTTAAGTAATTCTTTGATGGTAATAAGTTTAATAGGACCAAGAGTCTACAGCCACACGAGCAGCATGGTGAGGCTTTGCTTAGCTAAATAAAAATGCCAGCATGTTCACAGTGATACTGTTTACATGATGATGCTAAGCAGGTGTATAGTTTAACATGTTCACCATCTTAGCTTAATGTGTTAGCATGCTAAAATGTGCTTGCAGTAAACACAGAGTTCGGGTGAGGCTAATGAGAATGTCATTAGCTTTGCAGGTATTTGGTCATAAAGTAAAGTTTTTGCCAAATTAAAAACCTGATGGAGATTACATGTCCAGTATTTACTCTCCTTTCAGATCTCTTTTGGTCTACAGTGGGTTTATCAGAACTTTTTGTAAGAACATTCACAGCTGCATAATGCGTCTGGAAGCAGAGCTGATAGGAGCGGTGACGAGTAAAACAAGACAATAAAGTTGTGCGCCATAAAACCGAAAAAATGATCTGAAAGACAATATAAGGCTATGTAGAGGTGAAGGGAGCTGCAGAATTGGGGGATCATTCTCTGTGTATTCGTCACTATGAGAGAGACCTTTACATTATATACAGTCATTTGATTCAGTGTTAAAATAAGAACATAGATTATCGCAGTTTTAAAGATGCAGTTTTCAATATGGTCATCATACGATCAATCAGTTCCCTAGACTTAGCTAGTAACCAAATTCAACCCACATGCAGGTGTAGAAAATAGACACGTGAGGCACATTAGCAGCAACACGGAACAAAACATTAGTCATCATCATCAGTCGATTCATGTATTAACAGCTAGGCATAAAAAGGTACCAAGATGTTTGATTTTCATCCTACACCAGAGTCTGTCTGTGCTCCAGGGTAAATTCGGCTGTGTAACTTCGGCCAAGCCGTGAGTAATTGGACATCATAGAGAAGCCAGGAAGTCAAAGGTGCTGTCTGTCTTCAGATTTCTTTATATCATGCACATCACAGTGTGAATATTTTTCATCAGGCTCTTCATCAGTCAAATTCAAAGGGAACTCTAAATAAATCACCTCACCTTTTAATCCAGTGGTTAGAAGAGCATCTTTAGTGCCACTATATTCCCTGCACATCAAATGTTCATCAAGCAGCAGCGCAGCATTAACACTTACCTGTGAAACACCAGAGCAGGTTGTAAATCAGAAGGCTATAGAATGCGGGAAATAGTTTAAACTGTCCATCAGATACCAAAAGGGGTGTCTTTTAAATGTCTTGTTTTGTCCAGCAAACATTGCAAAACACAGACATTCAGATGTGTATATATATATGTATATATATATTTTTGTCCTCATGCCACCTGCCTGCAACCTGCTAACTAACAGCAAATTTAGTTCACATGATTCACCTTTAACAGGTACGACAAGGTTTTTCTAGCAACAGTATTTATTTACTGCAATATGTTGCATCCACTCTTGGCTCCTAAACCTTTTAATACAGATGAAATTAGATATGACTCTCAAAGCACATTGCATTATTTCACATGGGAAAGGTCACTAAAAGAGAAAACAAGTTGCTAGAAGGCCGAATATAAATCAGATTTATTGTACATTTTCATTTGAAGTTTCAGGCTTCTGCTAAAGTGAGTCCTTAACATGCGTTTTACGAAAGTAAGTATTATATTGACCTATAACAGAAAGAAAAAAAACAAAAAGCAGGATGAGTCTGCAATTTATTACACTCATATACTGTAGTGAATCATCTATAAATATGCTTCTTCTGGCACATTAAAAACTTTCCTCTCTGCTCCACTTATGCACAGTCTGGGAGAATAAGTGGACCTCTTAATGGCATAGCAAATTGGTGTTGTCAAATGTTGCAAAGATTGCAAAGTCAGCATTAATGGGGTGTGTCTTCCATCTTTTTAAAGTGGCTCTTGTTCATCATTATGCCCACGCAATAAGGAGCTCTTTGTGTAACTGAAATCGATTGAGTACTTAAAAGAGTCGCAAGGGTAATGTAGAAGAGTATATATATATATATATATAGTGTATATTCGTCTTTGCTGATTGTCATAATGCAAATCAACTAATCGCTATCAATTGATTTAATGTCCATCGATCTGAGGAGAAGGGGCTGTTACGAGGTGTGGTGTGTGGACAGAGAGGACCCAAATGCAGCACTCAGAGGGAAGGAGGTTTATTGAGGGACGTACAGGCACGGGGAACCAAGGAGACAGGGGGCCGGGGAACACAGGGGCCGAGGAAGCGAGGAGAGGTGGGGGAACAGGGAGGACGCCATGATGGAAGTCCGAAGAGGAGTGGGCCAGTGGATGAGCCCAGCCGAACGGAGGACGAGGGTGAGTGTACCTGGGAGGGAAACAGACAGAGAGACAAGGTTAGGGAAGACAACGACAAGGCACAGGGTAAGAGTGAAAAAACAAGAAACATGGACGCTTGAACACAGAAGTGGCACCAGGTATGGAGCAACGACGATCAAGCGAGGATGGTGTAGAGAACCGGGGTTGAAATACAGGCAGTCATGAGGTGATTACTGGCAGGTGTGGCAGGCTGACGAGGTGGCTGATGAGATGTAGGTGCAGGTAGTTGGCTGGGCTCAGG